AGATGCCTGGGTCCACCCGCCAGGAGGGGTGGGAGCAGGAAGCAGGAGCCGACCCCGAGGCTCATTCCTTCTGTCCTGGTATCAACAAAGAGCAGAACCATGGAGCAATAATGGGATCAGAGCTCTAGGGAAGGAGATAAGCGACTGCTTTTCCCGTGCCAGCCCTGGTGCACACTGCCCTTTCTTCCCGGTTCTGGCCGGCCCCAGACCTGAGGCGTCTCCGCACAGGGACTCCCAGAGTTGCCTGGAGGGAGGAATCCACAGACTGGGCCGAGCAGGGGCAAAGGAGGCATCAAGTCCCAAAAGCTTGTGAAATCCTAGAGAGCAGGAGCCTGCTTTCCATTCTTGTCTCTGCCCATTACGTCTAACAAGGAAGCGCTTGCCCCCAGGACGGCTGCTGTTATCTGACCGAATGCCTTTCATACATTTGCTCGCGTGTTAAGACGTGGTTGGCACCCTCCCGTCTGCAGGCCACCGGTACGAACATGTCAGAACCCTTGCCAGTGCGTAAAGTCCACTCTTCATAGGGTTACTTACAGTGCAACAGAGTCCTAAGACTGAACTCTCAGTGTCGATGAGCTTGTATTGTGAGTTTCACGACAACCCTAGAGGCTTCCAAGACACAGAAATTCTTCAGACGCACGAATACCTACACTGAGCCGAACTCTCACCCTATAGACACAAAGGGAGGGTTGCCGGGTCACAAGGACTCAGCACTGGTCCAGGACTGTGAAAAGGCTGGAATAAATGCAGGTTAATCCTCACTCAGTGCTGTATCCTTCCTATCTCTCCTAGCTCCTTCGACCAGTGGTTCAAAACCCCTTTTCACTGTCGACAATCGAAAGGCTTTTAGCAATTCAGGTAGACGTCGCTTGCTTGGGTTTTCTGAAAGATGGCTCTGGTCCAGGTAGTAAGCGTGGCAGTGAGGGCCATGGTGTATGCAGACAAACATTTTGGGTCCCTTTCCTTGGATCATGTGAAGCACACGTCAAAAGAGCAGGAGGGTAGGCGGGGGTGTGTGTGTGTGATGCAGTTTATTATGATTTCTCATCATTGAGAACTTAAGGTGTCCACGGGGTAAGAATAAAAGATCCTGTAAAGGTTTACTTTGGATACTTGGGATTCCTTCCTCAAGATGTTTAAAAGTTACTTAGAAAAAAATATATAGTTCTGGCCAAGTAGCTCAGTTGGTTAGAGCATCATCCAGATACGCCAAGGTTGTGGGCTTGATCCCTGGTCAGGGCCCAGCTACAATCTTTATAAGACTTTTTATATTGGGGGCGAGGGAAATAGATATGCTATAAATCACAACCAAACACTGATATTACTAAAATAGAGCCTGGTATCTAATGAAATAGATGCAAAATTCCCATCACTATAAAATCTGAATTCCTAATAATACTGGGTCCACTTATATTAAATAAACCTTTCTACTTACAATGAGACTAGAGAACAAGAAGGTTTTTCTTTCAACATTCTGTAAAGCTGTGACCACACTCGATGCTGTTGGGAATGCCGTCTTACTTGATGTCATTTTTTAACTCTGCTAAGTATTTATGAGGTGGTGGTCCTTTTTCGCAAGAATATGCCAAGTATTGCTCAGGCTGTCTGACCTACTCCTCTTGAAAAATTCTACATGGTTTAATCAAAACTTGGTGGATTTTTATTTTATATAAACATAGTTACTGAGGTTTAGTTAGTTTTCTCCACCCTCAATTTTCAGGATCTACTGAATTAAAACCAGATATTCACGTTGGGATACAACCAAGGGTTCCTTCCTGGCAGCCATTGTTTCTTGACCAGAACAAGGGATCCCGCCACACATGTGCCCAGGAAAACCACAGCCCATGACTGTCCACCTTTCTCGGAATGCGACACACTGTCTGGGGTCTCCAGGAAGAAAGCACCTCTCATGGCTGGACAAGTGCTCCCAGGTGGGCCGGTGAGGCTGCCCTCCCAGTCGCTGGCCCCCTATCCCCGGCCGAGGCGGGCCGGCCGCCCCATCTCCCCCAGGTGCTGTGAGTCACGCTGTGCTTAGAAAGAGGTCCTGGAGTGGGACCACTTTACCGCCCACTGAAACACAAAATGGGTTTGCTTTCCCATTATCTGGGTCCTGTAATGAGAGCTCTAGGAAGTGAGTGCACCATGAACTCATTCCTTCCGCCTCAGCAGACAGATGGACAGACCTCGCAGTCTGCTGCCAGTCTTTTGTCTTCGGAGCATTTTTGGCATTTCCTTCAGGAAACTGGAGGTTGTGACCCAAGGCTTCCTTAGTGAACACACTCCTGTTTCCCACAGTTAACCTTACCCAGAAATGACATCTACACTAGGAGGTGAGGTTTATCTTCATAGTCCAACTGTGTCCTGTGCCTGCTCAGTGACACTTGAGAGCACACACTCCGAAAGTAACAATAGCTCTGGAGAGCCCAAACCCACCAAAACACTCCCACTGAACCCCCAGTGAAAACTGACAATGAAAGGAGAACGAACTAGGACAGGAATTGTTTTCCTTGTAAACTACCCTTGCTCTCATTTTATAGTTGGAGAAATTAAGAACTGGGGATGTTAGAGCTTTCAGATACCATGAATTGAAAGTTTTCACACACAAAGTGTCTACAAGCTACAACTCGCTCCTTCAACATTGCTCAGAGAGAAGACTGGGAGAAACCAAGCCAGTGTCCTGAAAAATTAAGTGATTTAATATTATCTCCCATATCCACATCCCCAGGACCACAGCACACTGGTAGAAAGCCAAGCTTTGGTGGATGGGTTTGAACTGACCACTGAGCTTCATAATTTAAATTAGATTTATGACCACACTGTTCTGTGTTACTTCTTTAAAAACACCTTTCAGGACAGAATTGCTGGACTTGCTTTAGGTCGGCGTGGATGTGATTTAGAAAACAATTACACTTCCTCGCCATGTGGCATTTAGAGGTCGGTGGTTTTTCATCTTGTTCTTTACTACTCTTTGGTGTCAGAATATTGAAGTTTCTCTTCATGAAAAAGGCAGAGTGGTTTCTAAACAAAACCACATTTTTTTTTTTATAGCCTAGTTTGTTAAGGTAAAACTCCTTAAAACAGTAACAGACACTTGCCCTTAACCTTGATTCTAAAGAACCAAACAAAGTCAAACAGAAGATCTTAATAATTATTTTTAAAATGCTCTTCACAAAGGAATCTTTAAAAAAATCAGTTTATTAATGTTTAAAAGTTGATAAAGCTATGTGCAAAATGATCCACAAAAGTCAGAAACCTATTAAATACTTTTTTTTTTTTAAAGACATTTCTTGGTTTAATTGCACTGAAAACCATACTAAAGGGACAGCGATACACTTTATTCTTTGTAACATTTACACCCGCGTCCAATGGACTCGTTAAAGAACAGCTATACTGGAAACTTCCGGGTTCCCTACCGGTTAAAGTAATGCTTTAGGGGCACAAGAGGGTGACACTTCCTTAAGAAATACACATTCAATGGTGTTAACACAGGTTAGGAAAACCCAATAAAATGCTAAAACAAATACATTCAAAAATCATGAAGAGTACTTTTAACACAACAAAAGACAACCATCCCATTGGTTGAAATGACTCCTACAACCTCTAATAAACAGGAACAAAAGTGCCAAAGACAGAAGTTGTATTCGTTAGACAAATTTGTTAGGAAACCCCTCTAGGTTTACAGACTTCTCCCCCACACCCCTCCCCCACCAGAGGGTTTCCACCTCGTTTGGGGCCTTTGTTCCTCTTGGGACTCTAAGGATCCTGGCTGATACTGTTTCGATAAGCTGGGCTTCCCTAGCAGATTTCAGCCACAATGGCAGGATACTGTAACACATTCCATTGTAAAGACGTAAAAAAAAAAAATCAAAGTGACTACAACCAAATTCCAAAACACGGATCCAGCTTGCGTGGAAACTTTGGCCTCAGCAAATGAAACTGCCTTCCATGTCCAAAGCATCTCCATCTCCTCCGTCTGCCTCCTGGACACAGCCTTTCAGCTACCGAGGATGGAGAAACGGGCATCCACCCCCGGCTCTGACCAAGGCCGGGTGGTTAGAAAACCAAGTCGAAGTCGGAGGATGTTGAGGAGGGAGGGGTGTGAAGGGGAGGGGAGGGCGGAGTCTGGAGCATCCCCGGAGAAGCAGAAGCCACCCGCACCAGGGTGGAAAGTAAAGTGAAAGAAGCATCTTCTCTTCAAAGCTCCAGACGGAGACACTTTCAAAAGGGGACGCTGGTCTCCGAGGAGGGGCCAAATGAGCCCTCAGGAGCTTGACAATGCTAACCTTTGGCTCAGTGCAAATCAAAGCTCCAGGGGGAGGAAACAGACGCCAGGCCCCACGGACCTGCTCTCCACCCTTCCCGGCGCATTGTTCACAGGACGGGCTGCACCCACCGGCGGCGCAGG